GACATGTTGAAAATACAGGTATGGCAATAGCTGAAACACAGAGCAGAACAAAACCTGTGGGGCGGATTGTTTCCTTTGCAGTGATGTACGTCAGCCATAAGGACGGGGTAACCTGATCTCTGGTTTGTTTTCCTCCTTATCGTTTCCCTCCTTGCTTGCCTGTGTTTGATCGGTAAGGTTACAGAAGGGCTGCTGCGCCTTAGCTGAGGCAGCGTTTTTACGCCTCCGAGCTGAAACACAGAGCAGAACAAAACCTGTGGGGCGGATTGTTTCCTTTGCAGTGATGTACGTCAGCCATAAGGACGGGGTAACCTGATCTCTGGTTTGTTTTCCTCCTTATCGTTTCCCTCCTTGCTTGCCTGTGTTTGATCGGTAAGGTTACAGAAGGGCTGCTGCGCCTTAGCTGAGGCAGCGTTTTTACGCCTCCGCCAGCCCAGTGTGGTTCAAATTCCATATAACCTTGGCCCTTGTCCTCTACTGATATTGTAATGATACATCAAAGCTGGTCTTTCCCTCCTAAGAGAAATCAGAGGAAACGGTAGCTTCCAGGAATCATGAGATACGGGTTTTATTCTTGGCTCTGACATGGATTTTGCCTTAGCACTGGAATAAAGTAATAACTTTTCTTGGTAGCGTAGGAGACACTGGCTGATGTTTCTAAAACAGCTGAAAATATGTGTGTTTAAATGCAGAACTACAGAAACCTGATTACCCATGAAGATGTCACCATTATAGTGAGATGTTACAGAAAGCGTATCTATTTCTGCTTTGCATTTCTTTTAAGGATTTTCTTTTAATGTTCCTCTTTAAATCAAGCTAAAGTTTTTGTCTTTTTTCCTGCTCACTGGGTATGTTTCATGCCTCCTCTTTTCAAGATGCCTGTAAACCAGAATTACATACAGGCAGTCCCCCATTCACATTCGTAAATTTGCTGTCAATTCACCAAATCAAATCACAGCTCTGGCTTTCCATTTCAAATGTTACTTGGGCCAACATTTCCAGACCTGTTTCTTATTCTACCTAACCCACTCATTGTCTTACAAGAGTCACCTGACTTGAAACACGTTTTCTGTTATTCCTCAATAACAGAATTGATAATATTTTTATTTTATAAAACAAATAATTTTGACGTCTCTCCTGATCTCAAAATGTCACTCTAATGTCTAACTGCCTACGCAGTTGTTACAAATACTTCATTAAGCAACACTGCTTCTATATAGCAAACAAACAGCAAAACAATAGCAGTTATTAACATACTAACTTTTCAAAAACTTCTGAATTCCCTTCTAGCTACCCTGTTCTGTGTCTTTGATTTTTTATTTATCATTTACAGTTAGACTAAGATCTATGGGACCATCACTTTCTCTTTCCTGTAAAATAGCTGTTGCATTTTGGGTCTATTAAAATATTTCACATTCATCATCCTGCAGTTCTAAGCTGTTTTAGTAAATAGCTGTTAATTAATTCACATCACAGCTCTAAACATTGCAGAACCACCTAGCATCCATAATTGAAGAAAAAAATTATCTTGGAATAAAGACATTTTGGAGTGATAAATGTTCATAGCATCCCAGGCAGTATACTAGGAAATAATGATGAAAACAGGTAGCAACAAGATTAACAACACGTAGAGGGATTTTAGTCAACATAGGTTCAGTTTTGAAAACCTTAATTTTAGTTATTTAAGAGTCCCTTTCTCTGGACCATAAAATGTAAAATGAAGGGGCCTCAAGCTTGAAATTAAGGCAGCTCCAAATACTAAATGCTCTTAAGTAGTTACAAGGAGCAAGCTCATATGTAATTTTACAGCTGTAATTTTAGTTGCTGATGCTAACAGTTTTGAAACACCCATCTTCTAGCAATTACAGCTCTATCAAATCATACTACAAGAAATTTAACTCTCCTATGGAAATAGGAAAATTTTAACATGAATATCAAAAAGTGATCCCCAACAACAAGTTTTCTTAGGCTGAAGAATCATTTCCAGCAGGAGCCATTTCAGACTTAGTACCTATGACTTTTTTAGACTTCATAAAGAACGAGAAAAACATATTCTGCCCCACAAGGTTGATGAGGTAAGTTTTGTGAATCACAATTTACTTAAATCTGAGGACAACATACAGCCCAGAAATTTTCAGAATATTACACTGTATGATTAAACCTGAAGCATTTCACTTTCTGCCTAATTTCTACAAGGTTTCTCACCTGATGCACAAATGTCCTAACCACAGGACGTAAGGCATTCTCAAGTGGCAGTTTCTAGTCAACAAAGTTCTTTATGGATGAGCTGCTGAAATTGTCAAGACAGACAAGCGAGTAAAACAGGCTCTCTAACATAACTGTTGAGGCACTTACGTAGGAGATAGACAGAAATTTGAATCCCCACAGGCACGAGCAAGGAATAACTGGGTGTCACATTGTAATCAAGTCGTGAGATAAAAGAAGAAATGCTTCTCCTCCAACAGTTTGGTGAATATAGTCTTTGTTTGCCTATTTTTTATAATATATGAAATAAAACCTTTTATGTGGCTTAACACAACATGTGTTAAATGGAACATATTCACAGATTTTCATCTGAATTAAAAAATATTTATATATTGTATTTTATCCAAGACTACTCTTCTAACCAAAGTTAAATTGTATGAACACACATACACATACCCCTCTACATATCATTTCATGTGCTAATGAAATGTATTTTTTTTGTCATGTAATTACTGAAGTTTGTACCAATACCAATGATGGTGATGAATTTCGGGTAAGTGAGCTACAACATGGATATTAATATTTGTCAAAAGTCTGAGAAATCACACCCACGAAAAGAACATTAAAAGGTAATATTTGATAGAGGAGATTTTTTTTAATCACTGAAGCTGAAGAAATAGGTTGTTTATACAAATCTAAACTTGCTCTACCACCTTCTTTGTGCATGTCTGTGTGCAATGTGGAGTTACAGAACTGAATGTAGCTCATCTTTTCTGTGAAGAGGATGGATGCAACTCATCAGTGATGTCATTATGAATGTATGTCCATTATCTTACAATATTTGGTCACTGCATACCATGTATAGTCTATGTTCAATACTTTTTCCTGTGATGCCCACCACTGATCAAACTTTTCAAGTCTTCTGTCTCAGTGTATATGACCACGTAGGCATCAAGATATGTGCTGGAGGCAGAGGGAAGAGAATGGCCAGGTCGTTAAGCAGGGAAGGGACTGCAGCACAAGACTGGTGAGCATGCTTTCCTGAGGGCTTCTGCAGGATGGTACACTAGACCATGGGGCAGGTCAAAGCAGTAGTGTTTGATACCTGATTTCACAGATCAGCAGGGACATACAATGTTGCCAATAAAAGAGCTGAACACTAGTGGCAGGGAAGAGTGATTTAGTAGCTAGGGACACACGCCTCCTTTTTAGGGTGGGAGATCTGATGCATCTAGACTAACCAGTTTTTTCACAGCAATCAGCTAACTAATGTTCACATTTGTGTAGCAAGGCAAGCTGAGAAATGTTATTATCACTAAGGGGAAGACTGAGACTAAAGCATATGTTCCAAATATCAACTGATTTTGGATGCCCCTCTTTTAACTGGTGTATGGGGAAGACTTAATGTTTCTCTTACCTTTAACTTGTTCATAGCACAGCCTCCACTGATTTCAGTTGCAACTGTAAGTAAGTGCTCAGCCCTTTGATACTTCTATATTAAATTACTCTAAGCCAGACAGCAGAAAGAAAAAATAAAATCATTGTCTAGCCATAGAAAAAATTAGTTAAATGATCTACCCGTAACATGTAATTTATGTTAGGTAGGCAGTGTATTCTGTCCTCCAAAGGAGTTTCAGCCACTTTAACAAAATTATCTTTTCTCCTTCCTCAGACCCTTGCATCATTCATGATCTTCTTTCTTTTTGTTATCATTTACATTGTGCATTGATGAAGCAGGCATCTTGCTGAAGGCCAGTAATGTAATCACTGGCCTTATCGTAACGAATAGGCTTATCCTAATGAATATGCGAAAAAGAGCAAATTAAGGTAATCCAGGCAGTTTTTTGTTCCATCATGTCCTTTGCACATTTGAATATCTTTGAAGATAATTGTCAACCAGATCAGATATTGCAGCCAAAAAGCTATGTTTTATAGGAGCTCTGCTGCTTCTTGCTTTTACTTGAGCAGCTAGCCAGGAAGGGATGGTTAATACAGAAGGTGCAAAATCTATCCCTTTCTTCTTTTCCAAATCCAGTTGGTCACCTTTCCCCCTCACATTTCTTTTAAGATTAAGACATTGTTATTTCCTAGGGAATAAGTATGGAGAACTGTTTGCTTCCATCCCTTCCCTTCTGCATTACATTGTTATGCTTATCTTTCAGATATTGTCCTTTAACTAGATAGTATGCTCTTTGGAGAAGGACCTGTCTTCCAGTGTAGGTCTGAACACAGCCAGCTACAAGATCGCGATCCCGAGCTGATATGTTTGTATGCTATTATAATGCTAAATCTAGAACGCTAGCAAGTGTGAGAGAGATCATTCAGTTCAATTCACAGTTAAGTTAACAATTAAGTTAACACCATCCAACTCCTCACAGGAGGCATGGTGAAGGCACAGTGAAGAACAGAGCATCTAAACATGTAACAGCTCTGCCTCGGTTTTTGATTTAGAACCAGCAACCTTTTCCCATTTCTTGGTAGACTTAAGTAAATATGGACTATTTCTATGAAGCTGATAGGTGTAAGGGGAATAAGAAATTATGTTTATGTAAATATATAAAATGCCAAACTGCATGACTAAAACCCATCCGTGACTGAAGCCATGGTCTTTTCCTGGATATGTAGCACTTGTGTTTCAACGTGAGGAAAGCATTTAAGATGAAATACTTGCAGTATTGCTTTATTCCAAGAGAGGGTGCTAAAACATAAAATGTACTCCAAAAAGTCCTGCACAGCTGTACAATTGCTCAAATGGGTACTTCCTCCAGCACAAGCTTATTGTGGCTTAGCTTTTATTTTACATGCACACAGCT